TCATGTAAACCAGTATAATGCAACTTAATAGGGGTTTTTACATGTAAACCAGTATAATGCAACTTAATAGGGATTTTTCCATGTAAACCAGTACAATGCAACTTAATAGGGTTTTTTACCATGTAAACCAGTATAATGCAACTTAATGGGGATTTTTCCATGTAAACCAGTATAATGCAACTTAATAGGGGTTTTTTCATGTAAACCAGTATAATGCAACTTAATAGGGATTTTTCCATGTAAACCAGTATAATGCAACTTAATAGGGATTTTTCCATGTAAACCAGTATAATGCAACTTAATAGGGTTTTTTTCATGTAAACCAGTATAATGCAACTTAATGGGGATTTTTCCATGTAAACCAGTATAATGCAACTTAATAGGGTTTTTTTACATGTAAACCAGTATAATGCAACTTAATGGGGATTTTTCCATGTAAACCAGTATAATGCAACTTAATAGGGTTTTTTCCATGTAAACCAGTATAATGCAACTTAATAGGGTTTTTTCATGTATCAATCAATCAATCAAAGTTTATTTGTAGAGCGCCTTTCATACACATGGCAACACAAAGCGCTTCACAGTCCACATCACAAATCATCACATAAAACAAACACCAGAATCACAATTAAAACATTAAAATCACACAAAAGATTAAAACACAATTAAAACATTAAAATCACACAAAAGAATAAAACCATTAAAACTTTCAAAATTACACAAGAAATTTAAAAAAATAAATAAATGACAGCAGTGCATTAAAAATGGAGATAAAATCCTTCAGTTGTATGCACAGGCAAACAGAACAGTCTTTAACCTGGATTTGAACATTGACAGAGTAGACGCCTCCCTCACATTTTCAGGGAGATTGTTCCAGATCTTAGCTGCATGGATCTGAAACGCAGCCTCCCCATGTTTGGTTCTCACTCTGGGCACCAGCAGGAGGCCAGTCCCTGTGCTCCTCAGAGTCCGGGCCGGTTCATATGACACCAACATGTCACTAATGTATTCTGGTGCAAGGCCATGGAGAGACTTGTACACAAGCAGAGCCGTTTTAAAATCTATTCTTTGAGCCACAGGAAGCCAGTGCAGAGACCTGAGGACCGGACTAATATGGTCATACTTCCTGGTTCCTGTCAGGACTCTAGCTGCTGCATTTTGGATGTACTGCAGCTGCTTACAGGTCTGTTTGGACAGACCTGTAAGCAGGCCATTGCAGTAGTCTAGCCTGCTGGAGACAAATGCATGGACAAGAATCTCCAAGTCTGCCCTGGACACTATATTTCTAACTTTGGCAATGTTTTTCAGATGGTAAAAAGCTGTTGATGTTATTGATTTTATGTGGCTATTGAAATTTAGGTCTGAGTCCAGTATTACCCCCAAATTTCTGACCTTGTCTGAAGGAAGTAGGGAGAGAGACTGAAGTTGACAAATGACGCCCTCTCTTTGTTTCTGGGGACCAAAGACAATGATTTCGGTTTTGTCTGTATTTAGCTGGAGGAAATTATTTTGCATCCAGTCACTGATCTGTTGGATACAGTGAAGGAGCAAATCCAGTGGTCCATGTTCTCCTGCAGTCAGTGAGACATAGATCTGAGTGTCGTCAGCGTAATTGTGGTAGGACACTTTGTTTCTTTGTATTAACTGACCTAACGGCAGCATGTAGAGATTAAATAGGAGAGGTCCCAGGATCGACCCCTGTGGTACACCACAGGTCAGGGCCACATCATCTGAGACGCAGTCTCCAATCTCCACAGAGTACTTCCTATCCTCCAGGTAAGACCTAAACCAGTCTAGGGCTGTGCCAGTGACACCAGCCCAGTCCTCCAGTCTCTGCATGAGGATCTCATGGTCGACAGTGTCGAACGCGGCACTAAGATCTAACATGACCAAAACTGTGACTTTACCTGCATCAGTGTGAAGTCGAATGTCGTTTGTTACCTTCACTAGAGCGGTCTCAGTGCTGTGGTGGGGTCTAAACCCAGACTGGAACATATCAAAAGAATTATTCATTGTTAAAAATTCAGTAAGTTGTTGGGAGGCCACTTTTTCAAGAATTTTTCCAATAAATGGCAGATTCGATATGGGGCGATAATTTTGAAGTCCCGCAGGATCCAGACTGCTCTTTTTTAGGAGAGGTCTTATGACTGCTGTTTTTAGGGCCATAGGAAATGTTCCTGACGACAGAGACATGTTTACTATTTGTGTCAGTGAAGGTAACAAACTGCTCAGGACGGACTTCAGAAATTTAGAGGGCAATATATCCAGGCTACATGTGGAGGAGCTCAGACTCATGATTATCTTTTTGACAGTTTCAGTATCCACAGGTGCAAAGTGAGTTAGCTCAGAAAGCTTCTCTGGCTGTTGCATTGTTATACGTGCTGTGGAGGTGATAGTGTTTTTGATTCCTTGTACTTTGTCATCGAAAAACTGTGCGAACTCATTACACCTAGATTTAGAGGAAAATTCTAGGGGCAACTTTACAGGGGGGTTCGTTAATCTACCAACTGTTGAAAACATAACACGAAAATTGTTACTGCAACCTCCAATAATGTCAGAAAAATACATTTCTCTTGTTCTACGTAGAACCCGGTTAAATTCACCCAACTCATCTTTAAAGATTTCATAATCGCCCTGGAAATTGGACTTTCGCCACTTCCGTTCGGCCCTCCGGCACTCTTGCTTCTGTGCCCTAACCGAGTCTGCCTTAGTCCATGGGGCCTTTTTCTTACTGGTACGTATTTTAACCGTCACAGGAGCAATGGCGTCCAGAACAGTCAGAACACTGGTGGTGACAGAGTTATACAATTCATCAACAGTAGAGCATGGAGTTTTCTCAAAATTTAGCATTCCCATGAACAGTTCACTTGTGTTTTCATGTATGTGTCTTCTTCTAACAGTTGTAAATTCAGCTGGTGGTTTGCTAGCAAAACACATGTCAAAAAATACACAGAAATGATCTGACAAAGCAACATCAACTACATTAACATTTGATACATTAACCCCCTTTGTAATTAGCAGGTCAAGAGTGTGCCCCCTGCTGTGGGTGGGGCCACTCACGTGCTGAATGAAACCAAAGGTCTCAAATACAGAAGCCAGCTCCTTTGCATTTCTGTCATCAACATTATCAACATGTACATTAAAATCACCTGTAATAACTAAACTATCAAAATCTGTGCACACGAATGAAAGTAGTTCAGTAAAATGGTCAATAAAATCGCAACATGACTGTGGTGGCCTGTACAGGACAATGAAAAGAGTAGAAGATTGCTTTTGTTCCATTTTAAAAGAAATATACTCAAACGATGAAAAATTTCCAAGGGGCATTCTATGGGAGACAAAGTGCTCTCTAAAAACTGCAGCTATGCCTCCCCCCCTTTTGTTTTCTCGTATTTCGGATTCGAATTTAAAATTGGGTGGTGTTGCTTCTATTAGAACTGCATTTCCTGTATTTTGGTCCAGCCATGTTTCAGCCATAAGCATAAAATCAAGATCATAAGAAGTGATAAAATTATTAATTAAAAATGATTTGTTACATAGAGATCTGACATTAAGCATAGCAAGTTTAAAAATAACGTCAGAGTCGATTAATGTGGTTGATTGATTTCTACAGGGAACAGAAATTAGATTTGCAGAGTTGGACCGTCTAACTGCTGTCCTGTTTTGATTTCGTTTTTTAGAATTTAAAAACATTTTTGAGCTGGTGCGAGGAACACACACAGTCTCAATTGGCCTAAAATGTGAAAACCCTTGTTGTTCTTTAGCTCCCAGAGTCAGAAGGGAGTCAGCACAGTTCAGTGTTTGGACTGGTAATGCACTGCCAGACGGACAGGGAGCAGTGTTTGCACCGTTGTACTCACCCGGTGCTGGTGAGCAGGAGGCGGGGGAGTGCGGTGGGGTCCGAGGGGGCTCAGATGTAAACAGTCACGCCCCCCTCGGGGAACGCTGAACAACATAACGTATGTAATCCATCAACAGGCTGCTACCGTATCTGTTTGGGTGTAATCCGTCTGGACGATAGGCTTCGTAACGTTTCCAGAAAAGGGCAAAGTTATTCACAAAGACAAAGTTAAAAGAGCTGCATGTAGCCTGAAGCCACATATGCAGCGCCACAACACGACTGTAGAGGCAGTCACCTCTGTTTACAGTCGGGATTGGACCAGAAATAAAAACAGATAGTCCGGAGGATTGAAGGAGGTGGAACAGATCCATAAAATGTTTCTTCGTGACTTCTGACTGCTGAAGTTTCATGTCGTTAATTCCCACATGTACGACTACCTTGGAAACGGTATCAGGCAGGGACTGAAGCAGAGGAGGGAGACGTATGAGCAGGTCTGGTACAGTAGCTCCGGGAATACAGCGAGTGACCGCGTTGAAGAAGCGGACGTGTCTCACGATGGAATCTCCAATAATCAGAGTGGTCGGGGCGAAGAGTGGCCTCGGAGAAGGAGCTCGGTGGACGGAACCAGCGGGTTCACCCGAAGCAGGACCCGAGCCTGAGCGCCGCTGAACACATGGAGAGGAGGAGCGGGGGTGCTGACTCTCAGCTACAGGCGACCGACGCTGTGTGCTCGGGGACGCTGGAGCGGTGAGAGGGGCTGGCTCTGGGCGCTGCTGCTGACCCGGTGGAGGTGAGCGGTGGTAATGATGGCTCGCTACCCCAGTCTGAGGCTGCTGCACTGGGGTCAAAGAGGGGGAACAGGCCAACATGGCTGGAGGACCGCTCTTTCGCCTGAGGACTGCTTCCTTTAGGAGCGTTTTCCTCGCAGTGGACTTGGATCCTCGAGCAGTAGAGTACGCTGCAGTGTCCAGGGATTCTGCTGAGGGGGCCGGGATGTCGGTGGAGAGGGCTGCATAGCGGTTTGCCAGACTCAGGACATGGGCCACGGCGCAGGATGGCTCCTCGGAATCCGCGGGCTCGTTATTCGTAAGCGGGCGCTTAGGTGTAGAACAAGAGGGTCCAGAGCTGACGGATCTCTCCCACACGACAGTGTCACAATATGCAGCGCTCAGTGACATCAGCCGTGAGTGCTGCCCACCAGCGACTTCAAAAAGTTTGGATACTAGAGATTGTTTCTCATTCAACTCTGCGGTGAGACGAAGGACTTCTTTTCGTAGATCTGCAATGGTGGCACGGTCGCTCTCACGGAGCTCCAAGGTGAGGCGACTAATATTGTGCATGTTTGAGCCAATTTCATTGTCACTTTCCATGTCCTCGTTAGCTTGTGTTAGCCTCTGTGCTACTAGTGGGTTTCAGTCGGGACTAAGTGCTATTTGCTGAAACCACTGAATTAAAAAGATAAAACACTCAGATATATTAAAAAACTGAACAATAAAAACGCGCTAAAAAGTTGTTAAAAGTTTACTAAAAAGGTGCACAGAGCAGCCCTGCAGTACTGCTTACTTTGACCAGTATAATGCCACTTAATAGGGTTTTTTTCATGTAAACCAGTATAATGCAACTTAATGGGGATTTTTCCATGTAAACCAGTATAATGCAACTTAATAGGGGTTTTTACATGTAAACCAGTATAATGCAACTTAATAGGGGTTTTTTACATGTAAACCAGTATAATGGAACTTAATAGGGTTTTTTACATGTAAACCAGTATAATGGAACTTAATAGGGGTTTTTACATGTAAACCAGTATAATGCAACTTAATAGGGATTTTTCCATGTAAACCAGTATAATGCAACCTAATAGGGATTTTTCCATGTAAACCAGTATAATGCAACCTAATAGGTTGCATTATACCACCAGACCAAGACCCAAACGAAGACTCAGACCACCACCAGATAATGACCACAGACCAGGTTTCCTTAGTTACAGGAACCAAATTGTTTCAGCGGTGAGGGGATTTTTCAGTTTCAAGGACACTTTCAATACATTCAGTAGTTTCAAGGATTTCAACTGTTTAAGAATTTAACCAGTTTCAAGGATATCAGGAGGTTCAAGGATTTCAGGAGTTTCCACACTTGCAACAGTTTCCAGGTTTAAAAAAGTTTCAAGGATTTCAGGAGTTTCAATGTTTCAACAGTTTCAAGGATTTCAGGAGTTTAAAGGTTTCAACAGTTTCAAGGATTTCAGGAGTTTCAATGTTTCAACAGTTTCAAGGATTTCAGGAGTTTAAAGGTTTCAACAATTTCAAGGACTTCAGGAGTTTCAAATATCTATCAAGTATTTTAACAGTTTCAAGGCCTTTTAAAGGATTTCAAGGATTTTTTTTAGCAGATTTCCACATTAGATCTGTTCCGCAGTCAATCGCAATGGCTTCAGCCATTGCAAGTTTCTAGTTAGTTATAGTTACTAGTTACTTCTCCCAAAAAGTAACTGAGTTACTAACGGAGTTACTCCACTATAAAAGTAACTAGTTACCAGTAAAAGTAACTATTGCGTTACTTTTTCGTTTTGTTCTGGAACATAATGTGCACTCGACGTGCGCAGTTTTACCTTTAACCTCAGTGAGTCTGAAATAGTGCCAATATTTCCATCTAGAACCTGTTCACTCTTCATCTGTCTCTGTGCTGTAAGCACTAAACACAAACACCAGCCACTGTGAATGTGGAAACACCGGTGAAGCACTGACTTCAGCCCAATCAGATGAACATATATATCATATAAATCAACTGGACCTAGAGAGCGGCGTATTCACACTTTGTTTGGCTACAGCAGAATATGTTTCATGCCCGCATTGTTTGTTCATACAAAACGCAAAACTATGAGTTATGGGTCTTACCTTATAAATGACCTGCACAGACCACTTGGCTTCAGACCAGTTCCATGTTTAAGTCCAGTTAATGGTTTGAGCGTAGATATGTAATCCTCCATTTGGAAATGAGTCCAATGAGTTTTAAAAAGTAAAACAAAACGCGTTTTGTGAGTCCATAAACTCCTCTGTTTTGCTGCAGCCGGGTGCATCCGATTTCTAAAATCAACCGTCTTACACTTCACCTCTCTTTCTTATCATTCCTATAGTCATTGAAAAATTACCCTAAGTGCATTTTAAATTATCTTAAAATGTGTTATATGTATGTTAGCCAAACCTGTTGCTGTCCTAAGCAGATAAACCAGGAAGAGAAAGGAGCTTATCGATGGAATTGTATGCAGCCGACTTCTTCGCACACATGTGCTCCTCTGAGGCCTCGCGGTGATACAAGCCGTGGTAGAGTGTGATTAAGACCCATATTTGTTTCAAAAACACAATTTATGACCATCCTCTCAACTGTAGACGTGTAGATTGTAAAGGAAATATGTTTTACATCAGCCAATAACATCTGAGAGGTTTTCTCATCCTCCCTTCTCTCATGACGACACGCGCACGAGTCCTATCACGAAGTAAAAAGAGAAGTTCATTGTGCGTCTTGAGTAACGCGCAGTAACGGGATGTCGGAAATGCTAACGGCGTTATAGTTACAGTCAAAGTAACTAGTTAGATTACTCGTTACTGAAAAAAGTAACGGCGTTAGTAACGCCATTACTAGTAACGCCGTTATTCCCATCACTACTGCCCAGTGTCCAGACACAGTCATCTGCTTTAAGTGGAGACAAAGGAGACAAAGTTCATGGTACATTTTATATTCTGTCATTCATGTAATGGGCTGTGACATTAGCCTGTGTGAGGAGGGCGCAGGGCAAGGATAAGAACTGAGACTAAAGATCAAGATGAGAAATGGCATAAAGATGCAGTCAGTGATTTTTTCCAGACGTATTTTTAGATATTGTGGGAAAACGTCTCTAAACCCTAAAAGTCAAGTTAGTCAAGTACAGTGATGGGAAAAAAGTAACGGCGTTACTTTTTTCAGTAACGAGTAATCTAACTAATTACTTTGACTGTTACTATAACGCCGTTATCATGCGCGTGTTGTCATGAGAGAAGGGAGGATGAGAAAACCTCGTTTATTAAAATTATTGGCTGATGTAAAACATATTTCCTTTACAGTGTCTACAGTTGAGAGGATGGCTCATAAATTGTGTTTTTGAAACAAATATGGGTCTTAATCGCGCTCAACCACGGCTTGTATCACCGTGAGGCCTCAGAGGAGCGCATGTGAGCGCAGAAGTCGGCTGCATACAATTCCATCGATAAGCTCCTTTCTCTTCCTGGTTTATCTGCTTAGGACAGCAACAGGTTTGGCTAACATACCATATAACATATTTTAAGATAATTTAAAATGCACTTAGGGTAATTTTTCAATGACTATAGGAATGATAAGAAAGAGAGGTGAAGTGTAAGACGGTTGATTTTAGAAATCGGATGCAGCCGGAGTTTACGGAGGACACACGCGTTTTGTTTTACTTTTTAAAACTCATTGGACTCATTTCCAAATGGAGGATTACATATCTACGCTCAAACTATCATCTGGACTTAAACACGGAACTGGTCTGAACCGAAGTGGCCTGTGCAGGTCATTTATAAGGTAAGACCCATAACTCATAGTTTTGAGTTTTGTATGAACAAACATTGCATGAAACATATTCTGCTGTAGCCAAACAAATATTCCAGTTGATTTATATGATATATATGTTCATCTGATTGGACTGAAGTCAGTGCTTCACCGGTGTTTCCACATTCACAGTGGCTGGTGTTTGTGTTTAGTGCTTACAGCACAGAGACAGATGAAGAGTGAACAGGACTTCAGCAGCAAAACAGCCTTTTCTAGATGGAAACATCGGCAATGTTTCAGACTCACTGAGGTTAAAGGTAAAACTGCGCACCTCAAGTGCACATTATGTTCCAGAACAAAACGAAAAAGTAACGCAATAGTTACTTTTACTGGTAACTAGTTACTTTTATAGTGGAGTAACTCCGTTAGTAACTCAGTTACTTTTTGGGAGAAGTAACTAGTAACTATAACTAATTACTTTTTCAAAGTAACGTGCCCAACACTGGTCAAGTAGTCAAGTTTTCATGTGTTTTCAAATAGTAATGGAATGGACTAGATGGCTACAGTCTCAAAAAATGTATAAAATAAATATTTACGACCGGACCGATAAAAATAAACCAGTAGGATTCGTTCATCCCCAACGAACCAATGGGATGTGTTTACCCTCCTTCACCCTCTTCCTGTTTCTCGCAAATGCGCGCACCTGAGTTATCGGATGTTTTAAAACCTAAAATGACTGAACAGAAAAGGCCAATTTCATGCTTGCCACCCACTCTCCCTGTTGCTGGATGTTTGGTTTGGTGGAGAGGTGCGGGGAGGGGGGAGTGGTTTCCAGTTGGTGCTACGGCTAAGCTAACAAAATCGCACCTTTAAACCAAGGATATGCCATTTTATCTTTCAATTCCATGATAATGCCACAGTAACCTACTGTGTCACTCGCTGGTCACAGGGCTGCACAACCATAAAGTCCATCCAGTCTGTCTACAAACAGACGTTAAAAGTCCTGGATGGGAAACCTTTTCACCACCATCACTCTACATAAGATATATCATATAACATACTCAGCTTAGTAAGATTAGTTAGATTCCAAGATGCTCACCTGGTTTTTCACATCTTAAATGGCCTGGCCCCACCACCACTTTCTAATTAATGTTTAAGTGGAGCATCAGAACCACCTACTGCCTCAAACAATCAAGTTGTTCCACTGAGAAAAAGTGGGACTAGAAGTTCACGCTGCATTTATTAGCATTTTTTTATTAACAGAATTGTATATTTAAAGCCAAATATTTATACTATATTTTTGTTGATTTATAGATGTTCATTGTAAAAAGTCACAAACAATTCTTATTTCGTAATATGCACAATGATAATAATTGATAAAACAGTTTGGTGTCTAAATGACTGCTTCCTTCATTTAGACTGAAGCTTTGGAAAAAGACAAGGTCAAAAGCTGAGTTAAAATGACACATCAGCACTGTGTGAATGGAACCTCGAGGATTTTGGTCAGTGTGAAAACCCCTATTCATACTTTGTGCAATGCTTGGTATCCTTTCACACACAATGTTGTAGTTTTGAAATTCAAAAGTTTCTGGATGTATTGTTAGTGACGTCGTATTAAAGAATTGTCGCACAGTGAATACATGTTTCTTTCCTTCTTTCCTAGATTCCTCTCCAGACACCGGCAGAGACTCTCAGAAGAAATCCAAGAGAAAGGGTCGGAACAAAGAGGTGCTTCCTGTGAGCCAAGTGGAGCCCGAGCCCGAAGCTGTCAAAACTCCCATGGACCACGCCCGAGTGAGTCCAGCTCTCACACCCCACTTTTCAGTATCGGGGCCAGTTTAGTTCACCTCACTGGTCCAGGGGCCGTTGACTGCCTCACCAGATAGATGAGAATTTGTTATGTAATTAGATAGATACTTTATTGATCCTCTTTGGAGAAATTCAGGTGTGCAGCAACAACACAAAAAAAAATAAAAATAATAATAATAATTCTAAAAAGCCGCTTGTTTCGGTCGATTTTTTTCTGCTCTAGTCCAAAGTAAAATACTGATTGCTTCATTTTCGTTTTTCAAAAAGTAATCCTTCCTCCAGTGGATTTGAACTTGATCCACTTGGTTCAGACCATGAATCCTCTCTGCTCTGGTCTAGACCAGTGTAAAACCATGAATACTGTACTGCAGCAACATCTCAGGCAGAAAAAAAGCAAGAAAAATGTGTAAACACAAAACAACAACGGTTTCAGTGACACCTAGGACTCTGCCGTTATCCAGCGCTTAAAAAAGTAACTATGAGAGAAAATTAAAAAACAAATTTCAACACATACAAATGAAGTTGAGGTTTACAACACTTATGCTTATGATCTCATCGGTGACACTGTTTTAGCAAAGTAGAGGGCCACACAAAATCATTCAGAGGGCCTTAGTTTGGACAAATCTGAAACGCTGCCTCCCCATGTTTAGGGCTGACTCTGGGACCAGCATTAGGCCAGTCCCTGTGCTCCTCAGAGTCCCAGCAGGAGGCACATGTACATTTGCAGGACTCTCTTGAAAAATAGACTCTTAATCTCAATGGGAATTTCCTGGTTAAATAAAGGGTAAATTAGAAAATGAAATTCCAAGGGCCACAGAAGGACTTCAACAACATAAACAACTGCCTTAAATAACTTACTGAGTATCGTCATGACTCTGACTGATCTGGACGTTCGGGTATATCTCTTGCATACTTTCTCACAGCATCGAAGTGTTTTACGAGTCTGAAATCTTTGTTTTGTTTGTACCTGCTCCGTCTCTTTTGTGTCTGAAAAAAACCAGTTCCATAAAACTAGTAATAAAATTAGTAAACTCTCCGTTCACAGAGCCAGGACCCGGGCAGCTCGTCGTCTTCCAAAAAGAAGAACAAGTTTGTGAACCTATACGCTAAAGAGGGCCAGGACAAGCTGACGGTGCAGTTGCCGGGGCGACACGCATGCGAGTGCCTTGCTCAGAGGCACAAGCTCATCAACAACTGCATCAGCTGCGGACGCATCGTGTGCGAGCAGGAGGGCTCCGGACCCTGCCTGTTCTGCGGCCGCCTGGTGAGGGCCGGACTGTGAGGGGGAGGGGGGAGGAGGGAGGGAGGGGGGAGGTGGGACAGTCTGGATCGGACTGTGATCAAATCAAATCAAATCAAATTTTATTTATGAAGCGCTTTTCATACAAAAGATGCAACACAAAGTGCTTTACAGTTTGGTTAAAAACAATCCCGCCGGCCCATGTCCCCTCCCCCCGACCACCCAACAGACCCATCCCAAACCACAGACAAACACACACACACGCACACACACACACACACACACACACACACACACAAGTAAAACAGTAAAACAATGATGAGAGACTTGGCAGGGTTCGGATGCAACCAGCTGAAAAAGCGCCATCCTAGGAGCCGTCTGCACCAGGAGCAGAGAGCCGCCTGTAGCCACAGGGGACGACACAGGATCTAGAGGAGACCCGAAACCGAGGCCCCAGGCCCCCACCAGGTCCAAGAGTCCGACCCCCACAGCCATGCCGACCACCGCTCCCAGTGCAGAGGGCTCCTCCAGAGGAAACACTGGGTACACTAAAAACAATACAATAACAATACAATATGTAAAACACAAAAATGTGAAACTAAAATGAAACTAAAATGAACTAACACACAATACATGAATAAAAGCAATAGCAATACAATAAATAATAGAAGATAAATAGAATATATAAAATGAAATAGTAAAAACTAATCAAAAGCTAATCTAAAAAGGTGTGTCTTGAGCCTGCTTTTAAAAATATGAACGTTCTCTGCGGCCCTGAGCTCCTCCTCAGACTGTTCCAGAGACGGGGGCCGTAGTGCTGGAAAGATGCCTCACCGTGAGTGTGTGTCCTGACTTTGGGGATGGTTAGGAGTCTGCTGCCGGAGGAGCGCAGGGGCCGGGAAGGCTCATAGGATAAAAGCAAATCTGAAAGATAAGAAGGCCCAAGACCATTAAGACATTTAAAAACCATTAAAAGAACCTTAAAATCGATCCTGAAACACACAGGGAGCCAATGCAGCGATTTTAAAACCGGTGTAATGTGGTCCCGCCCCCTGGTCTTAGTCAGGACACGTGCGGCCGAGTTTTGAAGTAATTGTAAACCTGAAATGTTCTTTTTGGGAAGACCAGAGAGCAGGGCATTACAGTAGTCAATGCGACTGGTGATAAAAGCATGCATCAGCGTCTCCGTGTTGGCCCGAGAGAGAATGGGGCGGACTCTGGCGATGTTCTTTAGATGATAAAAACCTATTTTTGTGATGTTCTTGATGTGAGGCATAAAAGTCAGCTCAGAGTTAAAGGTTACGCCCAGGTTTCTCACTTGTGATGATGGATTAAAAGAGTGTGATTGGAGTTTTGATAAAAGTTTCTCTCTCTGGGCCTCAGGACCGATGACTAAAACCTCAGTTTTGTCCTGGTTGAGCTGGAGAAAGTTTTCTGCCATCCAGGATTTCAGGTCTAAAATGCAGTTAAAAAGAGCATCCATTGGCCTGGTGTCATCAGGAGACATGGAGATGTACAGCTGTGTGTCATCTGCATAACTGTGGAAGTCAATTCCGTGTCTCCTGATGACACCGCCAAGAGGGAGCATGTACAGGTTAAAAAGGACTGGACCTAAAATAGAACCCTGGGGCACACCACATGTGATTTTATGGACCTGAGAGGAGCAGGTATCCAAACTTACCATGAAGGATCTGTCTGTTAAATAAGAAGTGAACCATTTGTGGACAGCACCAGAGAGGCCGAGGTGTTTCAGGCGGGATAAAAGAATGGTGTGGTCTACTGTATCAAAGGCAGCGCTTAGATCCAGTAGAACCAACACGGTCACCTTTTTAGAATCATAACTTAGTCTAAAATCATTTAAAATCTTTAAAAGAGCAGTCTCTGTGCTGTGGTTCACCCTAAAACCTGATTGAAATTTCTCTAAAATTTGTTGCTGATCTAAGAAGGCATTGAGCTGGGTAAAAACAAGTTTTTCTAAAATTTTGCTTAAAAATGGCAGGTTGGATACCGGTCTGTAGTTGTTAAAATCATTAAAATCTAAATTGCTCTTCTTCAGAAGGGGCTCACCACAGCCGCTTTGAAGGCTGCAGGAAAGACCCCAGTCTGCAGAGAGCAATTCATCAGGTTTAAAAGCTCCTCTCTAAAAGATTCATAAAATGACTTAAAAAATGGAGTGGGGACTGGATCTAAAAGACATGTGGTGGGCCTCACTGAGGAGAAAACTTTATCAAGCATCTCAGCATCAACCAGGACAAAACTGTCCAGTGTTTCCTCTGGCGAAGACAAACAATCAGATGTGTTAAAAACAGTTGTGCGGTTGGATAAAATGTTACATCTGATTGTATTTATCTTCCCCGTGAAGTGGACTGCAAAATCCTCACAGAGGGAGTCTGTGGGGGTTAAAAGAGACATGCTAAAATCAGGGTTTAAAATGGTGTCGATGGTTGAAAATAGGACCTTTGGGTTATTTTTATTTTGGGTGATTAGCTTTGCAAAGTATATGTTCTTATGATTTCTAATTGTGTTATTGTATGCTTTTTGATTGCTTTTATATAGTTCGTAGTTGATTGTTATTTTATCTTTCCTCCACCTTCGTTCTGCCACCCTGCACTCTCGTTTCATTTTTCGTACTTCCTCATTTCTCCATGGGGGTACAGAGTGATGTGATGGGGCGGGTGGCGTCTTTGGATCAGGTTTTTCAAATGTAGGGTCTGTATGTGACCAGGGCAGATTCATCGTCCACGACCTCCACTGGTTAGAACTGAAAACATTTATGAAAAAACTATTTTCATAATAGAAATGTTTGCTTTGATAATTGATAGTTAATTACATCACTATACGGTTGTTGGCCTTTGAAATGACATCCCCAGAAAAATTGAAAGTTTTTGTACTCATGTCATTTTTACTGTTTAAGGCTAAGTTTCTTTTAAGTGTAATGAAGCTAGTACACCTTCATTACGTCACACGGTCTAGCAACTCAGAGAAGATTTAAATATCATTTTCAAGAGCCACAGCTGCTCTGGTGCAGTTTGATAGAAGTGAGGCCTCACCGACCACCACCAATCATTTTCACCAACAATAGATCAATTCAATTAAATTCAATGTATTCTTGTATTGCCCTAAATCACAACAGTACTTATCTCTGAGGACTTTATAAAACCTTTGAATTCACCAACACAGATCAGAGAATCAAAAAGTTCAAACACATAGAGCCGTTGATCCATAAAGGGCAGAGACAAATATCCACAAGTGTTGATAAATGTCCACAGATGTTATTGAATGATTAGAAGGAGAGGCTAGGAGTGCGCAGGGGTTCACAAGTCGTTAGACACCGGTGGTCTTCTGGTGGGGCGAATAAGTCAGAGGCACTTGGATGCAGAGAATTCTGTTATTTTAATGTTGTTGAATGTTGAGTGTCTACTTTTCAGAGAATAAAACAGTTTGGACTCAGGATACAATAAGAGCAGGCTGTAGATTGGTGTCTTATCATTCCCCTCTATCCTGCTAGATTTGTTTTGGAAATACTTGGTTGTTTGTTTCCAGGTTTGCACCAAAGAGGAACAAGAGATTCTGCAGAGAGACTCCAACAAAAGCCAGAAACTTCGAAAGAAACTCATGGGAGGTAAAAACCCAAACAAACCCAGATGCCAAGGACGTGAGTGTGAGATGGTTTTAGTAAATGATGTTGAACATGATCCGACAGAGGCTGGAGAGAGAGAGATGCTCCCACACCAGGAGGCCATGATGAGCGTTGGGCTGGAGAAGGCCCTGCAGCACAAGGACAAGCTGCTGGAGTACGACAGGAACAGGTAGAACACACAGACATGTATAGACCACGGGGACGGAGCACAGGGACAGAGCACAGGGACAAGCTGCTGGAGTACGACAGGAACCGGTAGAACACACAGACTTTGGCTGAACACAAGGGTCTGGGATCGACGCCAATGCAAACTCCTTCAAAGATGTTTAAAAATAATCAGCCAATCAGGATTGCCGATGTAACGTCTGTTTGCACCACCTTCTCGTGCGTGTCCATGGTTAATTTCTTTTTAAAATACGAACAAATTAAGACACGGATGTCACTTTTAATGCAATATGAGGCGAGATGTTGAAGGTTCCATGTTGTTATATATCTGTTTGTGTAAAGTTTGAATTAAGTGCTCATGTCACAACACTACGCAGGAGGGTTGCCAGGTTGGGTGGTCTCCCGCGTACTTTTGTTCCAAGCGACTTGTGGGAAATAAATAAACAGAAAGACAAAAACAATCATCATACAGACAAGTAATTTATCCAATCACAATTTTTTTAATTCTGAAATTCATTCGCTATGAGTCAGGCTTCTCCATTAAAAACACATAAGACTTTTTTTGTTCTAACTTTTTTCCACGTCCCTGTCTAAAAGTAGATGCTTCACAATCAATTGAATCAAATTATGTGGCATTCAACAGAAGCCTCCCCTCTCACCTCACCCTCTCCTCTTATCCTCATCGCTCCCTCACCATCGCATCCCTCACATCCTCTACCTCCATTACCTCTCCATCTCCCCCTTACCTCCTACACACTCACCTCTCCTCCCCCTCTCGCTCCCCCCACCCTCTCCCTCTCTCATCCACAGCGTGAGGAGGACCCAGGTTCTGGACGATGAGTCGGATTACTTTGCGGCCGACTCCAACCAGTGGCTTTCCCCCGGAGAGAGAGAGAAGCTGCGGGCGAGGGAGGAGGAGCTGAGGCAGATCCGACACGCCTCCAGGAAAGACCGCAAGATCACCCTGGACTTCACCGGCAGACGGGTCGTCCAGGAGGGGGACGGCATGGACCACTACTACAGCAAGTGAGGAGGACAAATCTCAAAATATTGTTTCGTAGTTTGTCACATCATTTTGAGTTTGTCTCTTGTGCAAGCCTCAAAATACATGTGTAATTCCAGGCATTTTTTATTGTATCATCTCAAATTATCCATTTTCAGTTTGTTTGTATTTTTACTTATTTCAAGCACACAGTTATGAGTGTAACAACAAAAGCAGGGGTCGTAATAACCCTGAGAGTAAAACAAAGAAAATCCTACTGCTACTTGAAAAGGAGTGAGATGACGTTGAACAGTTATTGATTCCGACGTCCCATGAGTTGAGTTTTAGTCAATAAATCCTTAATACATTGGTTCTTTGAGGCCGCAGTTTGAACTTTTAGCCTGAGGACCAAGAGGGCTCCTGCTTTCAGAATCAAAAAGGTTGAACTGCATTGATCCCAACAGCTTTGAAGCACCGTAACAACACATAGCACTTTACACAAAACTATTGCACTTTAGAGCATATTTGCACTGATACTATCTTTGTGACATCCTCTCTTGCTCTTGTCATCTTCAGTGTTGGGATTTCTGTGTCTGCCTGTTTTTAGATGTTTGTTTGGTGAAAAACCAATTTCCCTGAGTGGTAGAATAAAGATAAAGACTAAGAAAAGTTCCTTCTCCGAGCGTCTGCGCTGGAGCAGTGTTGACGTGTGTGTTGTTGTGCAGGCTGGACGAGACCCTGAGGGCCATGCACGGTGATGCCTCCTCGCCCCTGTCCAGCAGCGGGCTGCAGGGAGACAGAGCTCCTCTCAGAGACCTGGTCAATCCCAACATCACCCAGAGAGCACCACAGGTCTGTGTCTGTACCTTGGACTCCTGAAGTTCACTTTTACCTAAACTAAAACATTTTCATTCAAGTTTTTCACAATTCAATGTCATACTAAAGGGATGAAATTAGGTTTTTCCATCACTTAATCTGAGGCTCAGACGTGTCCGTATACAAAGGATTGGAATTCAAATGTTTCACTTTAACCAAATGTGTTGGGTAATCTTCCACATAAAATTTGTGAATTTTTGGCCCACTCCTCCTGATAGAATCTGTAACTGGGCCAGGTCTGTAGTTCAGGGGTTGAGGTCAGGGCTGTAATGGCCACTCCTCCACCTGGACCTTGTCTTGAAGTGTGCTTTCATATATCATATCATATCATTCTTTTCCTGCAGCTATACCTTCACAATAATGTCTACAACATGAGCCTAGTCCCTACCCTCTGTTTATTCAAGTGAAATACTATGAATAACATTAGCCACAGAACATCCATAGAAATCGACCTTGAGCTGCAGTAGACTGTATGTCTCCTGAATAACGCAGCTGGGCCTTCTGATGAGAACCTGAGCTGAGTAAGAAAGTACGCTTTGTTTATACAGCGCCTTTCACAGACCAAGGCCAAAAAGCGCTTCGTAGTATAAGAAAGAAACAAAACTGACAAGATGAATTGTGTGATGTATGTTTTCTTGTTCTCCCGCTACAGTCTGTTTTCTGCATTTTGTTATTGTTGGAGTTTCACTGTTAGTATCTTTAGGGAGACTATGGACAGAGACCAGGGACTGCAGATGAAAAATAGCCTTGCTTTGCTAATTCTGGTGCATTTACAGATTTTATTTATTAATGCAAAATGTCCCTGTTAAATAAACAAATACAATTAAAATAGATAGTCGATTTGATTTGAAAAATACAGTTTGATTTCATTTTTTATTTATTCCTTTCATGAAAATGTGGTTGCACTTATCAGCTTCATAATACATTATACATTTCCATGATGAGAAGTTCCAAAAGGGGTTGGACAACGCAAAAGCCAATTGGGCTCCAACTGCCCTTTAAGCAGATAAATTTTCTTGATATCAGGTGAAAATGTGAGTGTGCGGTCTTCCTGTTGGCAGTGGGTGGACGTGGGGGTCTCGGAGGGCCACAAGCGCAGCCTGGACTCGACGGACTGCAGGAGTGAGGAGCGCTCCAGGCTCCGGCTCCAGGACAAAGAGCTGCAGGAGATGTCTGACGGAGGCTGGTGTCTGAGCATGCACCAGCCCTGGGCCTCTCTGCTGGTCCGGGGCATCAAGAGGTACCACCCCGACCCAGGTCTAACAGTAGAGCTTATGCTAGTGTTGATATCATTGACAATAATGGAAACAAATGTGTGTATTAGGCTCCAGGCTGAAGCAAAACTTGTACTTTTGCTAAATCTAAACCATGGATATCAAAGCCACGTAAGCGTGGGTCTGGAGAGCCCGAGTGCCCGGACGGGACTTCGCCAGCGGGGTATACTCTTGACAGCTGGAACAAGTGGCAGCCCCTCTGTCTGTCGACCCTGTCCATTGAAGATTCGGAAGACGTATATATCTTTGGCTTTTTGGTGGTGGGGATCCTCCTGTTTGGGTTTGGAGCGGTTCTATTCTACCATAAATTCGGAGGCATGGCAGTTCGCAAGATTCACGACCTGCTGGCCAACAAAATTGATGGGATGTACAAGGAGCTTAACCGAGTCGTGGTTGAGAGCGCTGTGGCTGGACAACGAAGAGTGGTTTTGGTGGAACAGTTGATCAGAGATCTCGCAGCTCGTTCACTTGACGGGCATAAAACTCTGGAATTGAGATTGAATGACATTGTTTGTCACGCTTGAACTCTCTGACCCGGCTTGGATTGGCCCCTGTGTACGGGGTTTGAGGGCGCCGCAATTCGGTTTAATTGGATTTAATAGAATATCTGCCCGTTTTTGACTGCTAAAATGCATACTAGATTGTCCCTCGTTACAGGAAGACGTGTTTTTCTCCATGCTGTGTCTTCGCTCCTCTCTTATCTCACATTCCTCGGGCCAAGGCCATCATAATAAATCTGGTCTCTACAAAAATTTCACACTCTTTCAGTCTTCCAGCTTGGATCCCGCTCCCCTCGCCTCCCTCTGATCTCTCCCTCCCCTCCCCTCCTCACTGTGTTTCCGACTCACCCCCTCCCTGACCCCGCCCCCCTCTGACAGCCACATTGGACCGGCAGCCAGAGGTGCTCATCCCGAGAAAAAAATCCGTGGTTTATACAAAGCACAATGTTTTCTATCCAACTGTCTGTTGTAACCTGTATGTTATTGCTCTCTGCTGTTTATTCTACTGTTTGTCGCATGGCGCCGGAAAAATGGCGCCGTGGCAAGAGCTCTGGTGTGTGTCGTCTCTGTCTGGCGCACACCGGGGTAGTCTTGCACAGTTTTTCCAATGTGGTTTTACTGCAAATGGCAAATAAATGAATCTGAATCTGATCTGAATCAATGATCTTGGTCCTGGGATGATATTTGATTAGTTTTCGAACCGGCCGCACAGAAGAAAATGTTAGATTATTTATTCAATAATCAGGACATGTGATTTTTCTCTATGAAGGAAGTTTGTTTTTTGTCTGTGAGCCTGTGGAAAAAAAGGTTTCACTTGATACAGAAATATTGGATTATTCATTTTATCTTTAAATAAAATATGGTCCACTATGTAAGGGTTGTTTCAATAGGGTAAAAACATCATTTTAATATGTTTTAATAAACATTGAATCAGTCCGGTTTTTGATTTTTGGCCTCCGATGTATTTGACTTAGACATCCCTGATATAACCGAATGCTCTTTCATTCGGTTAGATCAAGTTTCAAAGAGGTGGAAAATTTCGAATTAATTTCTGGAAAGTTTCTGGTAAATTTCCATGGGGAGTTTAGCGGGCAAAATTTGGGAATATGCCATCTTGTAAACTAACTGGGAACTTTGAATATGTATAAAAGTTGAGGTGGACGGACGCTAACGTGAGCTCTCTGTTTGGAGGGTGGAGGGGAGGACATGGTACACAAGTCACCGCGGCCGTCTGTGGATCGCAGCTGCAGCCAAGAAGCCCACGCCCCAGGAGGTCAGCGAGGTGGAGAACATGTACCGGCAGATCTACAACAAGAGAGGTGCGGCCCCAGCAGCTTTCTGAGCTCAGAGGTCTTGGATAGTCAAGTGAACATTGTCATAGATATCTGGAAATTAGGGCAATAGTCTGCAAACATATGGCCCTGGTTATGTACTATTCCAGGCTAAAAATGGCTGTCAAAGAAAATGAATGTGTTATATGTTAAAGTATGCATTTGCAATAATTGTAGGACTGTGGATTTGAATTTAATTTAATTTACCTTTATTTAACCATTTAACCATTCCAGAGTCTCTGTCTGGGTTTTTTAGTGTTAGGGGAAACCTACACAGACACGGGGAGAACATGCAAACTCCACCCAGAAAACCCAGACAGGGGATTCAAACCCTTGCTTAGAAGCGGGAGTGCTAACCACTCAGCCACCATGCTTTCTATATATTCAGATTATGTCATATATCTTTATCCTTGTTTGTCCTCAACAAGGAAATATGTTCACACACACACATACACACACACACACACACACAGAGAAAAACATACACACACACACACACATACACATGCTGAGATACATAACCTACAAACGCACACACAGTGATACATACAGAGGTACTTACAGCACACCCATGCACACACACACACACACATGCTGAGATACATAAATACACACTGACACACAGATATATACATAAACACACACACACACACACACAAACAAGCACAGAGATACTTACAGCAAACGCACAGAGATACATGAACACACACACACAAACGCACACACAGAAATACATCCAGAGGTACTTACAGCACACCCATGCACACACGCACACGCACATGCACACGCACACACACTCATGCACAGATATATAAACACAGACACTCACGCATGGAGATACACACACGGAGAGACACACACACACTCCTCAGCCCCACTTTTAGTTCTTCTGGAGGTGTGCGCTGTAGTCTCATAAACATAGTATTTTAGTAGAGTTTCTTGTCTAAGCGCACTGGAACATGAGAGTTTGAATACTAAATCTAGACGGTGTGTTTTATGGTGTGAGAACGTACTGAAGTCTTGATGGTTGATCCCTGTGTGCAGAGCCGGCCTTTCCCCAGGACTACCCCACAGGCTGCCTGCTGGGCTGTGTGAACGTCAGCGACTGCCTTTCCCAGGAGCAGTTCAGAGACCAGGTGAGAGACCTTTCTTTTTCTCGCCCCTAAGCGCTGCCGAGAACCCGGGTATATACTGAACGGCAAAACCACAGGAAACAGACGGAGCCAGATAAGCACAAATATTGCATTTCAGTCTGGAAATTGTCATACCACCAGCAGCTTTCCTCTTTTTTCTTCGTTATAATTGTCTTATTCTTAATTTTGGGTTGAAATTAAAACTGTAAACTACTTGTTTAATGTAGTAATATGTGAGATTTTCATGTCAAGTCATCATCAAAGGGCCCTAATCTGTCAAAAGGCAGTAATAAATCATGCTCTTTTCAAACACTTCTTTAACTGATAACAGTAGTTCAGCCGAGATATTAGTTTTACAGCCCCTGAATCTTGGTGTTGTTTTCATTTCGATTTGCCAGCCTCCACCGTTTTACCCATTTGAAAGTCTGTGATCCGGGTTGCCAGAACTGACAGCATCAAGCTAATTTCACTGGAAAATTACCATGAGCCGGCTGCAGAACTAAAAAAAGGTCTCGTTATAAGTGTTGGTTACAGATTTGTTGTTGACAAAACTCTTGTCTATTCAGCTGTTATGGTCCCAGCTGGATTCGTCTGCATATCTGGCAACCTGAGTCAGGGAGAGTGGGAGAGGTTGATTTGTACTTGTATTTTAGGTATAGACTTGTTTTTCTTTAAACACATAACTGATTTGACTGATATATTTCTCCACATGCCTTGAGACTCACTGATAGCGGAGGAATATCTATTGATGAATTATTAGATGATCTTAAAGATGTCATACCTTGCTATTTTTGTTTCTCCAATAACACATGTTATTTGTCCCAATGGAAAGAGTCAAATATAAAATGTGTTTTGTAAATGAGACCACAACCCCATGTGAGTCATTATTTGATGCTTTGGGCTGAGAGCTATTTGAGTGAGGTAGGTCCTCTCTTTTTAACTTTTCTGTCTGAAAAATCTGAGTGGCAAACCAAAACTATGCATTGTATGACATCGTTCCTTTGTAGTCATGTACTCCAGCTTTAAGAGTCCTAAGAAATGTCTTTTATCCCCAGCTCAAAGTTAACAGAAAGCAGTAATTCTTGTTTTCACCAGCAGAGTGCAGCGTTAGCCTACTTTTGTACTTGTAATGACACAGTCCACCTCTAGGAGCAGTGTTTACTCACAAAGCCCCCGCCTCTGAGACATGAGGATGCACTTTCAGACTGGAATGTGGTAGATTCACTCTCTCTCTTTACTCAGTGGAAAACTCAAATCTGTCCGTCTAGTTTGTGATATTTGTAAATGTACATATTGTTGTTCTCTTGTGTGTCTCAAATATCAGAATCTAAGCAGAAATTAATAAAAAAAAACCTATGCATTTACTTATGGATGGTATGGATAAACAACATATTCAATTTGTGCGATCATGAAAACAATTATTTTATTTTTTATTAGTAGAATTTGGTGCTAGCCCGTTTAAAGTTTTGATTTATCTTTGTCTTTAGAAGCCAATACCAAATGGACTTGCCTTAGGACACAACAGCCCCACTGTGTTACCTGCTGTACCCCATCACAGTGTTAGCTAGGCCTTGTCCTGCTTAGCTACTGAGACATGGTGGTATCAGGCTTTGACAGCGAGTGGTCCAATGTCTTGTTTTTGTGTATGAAGTCTGGTAAGTTTTTACATTTATCTTATGTTTATTTTGACAAACATAATGTGAACATATGGAACATTCAAATACATAAAATAGGTATAAATAAGATGTAAGGCTAGGTCAGACTGATTTTCTGGAGGTCATGGCAGACTAGTGTGCAGAATTTCTGGCTGATCCAAAAAAATAGTAAGATTATTTTGGCTGTTAGGCATTTACACATCATTGAAGAAGATGGCCAAAGGGCTCACTCGTACAGGGAACATTCATTCATTCATTGATCCGGGGCATTTATTATCATTTATGGATGAGATAAGAGAAAGGTAAGAGAATAAAAGGCAAAAATCAGAGCACTCGGTCATAATACTTAATAAACTCTGGAGCTATAAGACAAGTTTAGATAAGAGATCCTTTATAAACACATGGAGCAAACAAAATATACAATATAAGTAGCTGCTAAATTTTTTAGTTGGCTGTAAATGCTTCAATAACAGTTTTAAAAAAAGAAATATATCTCTCTAGTACAAAGTTATGTACTGTACATGCAGGAGCAGGGTATTCAGTAGATAAAGTGTCATTTAGTGGACATTCTGAAGTATTTACTTGTTTACAGATGAATGACATGTACAGTCTGACAGCAGTTCTCATTGTACAGTCTGACAGCAGTTCTCATTGTACAGTCTGACAGCAGTTCTCATTGTACAGTCTTACAGCAGTTCTCATTGTACAGTCTGACAGCAGCTCTCATTGTACAGTCTGACAGCAGTCCTCATTGTACAGTCTGACAGCAGTCCTCATTGTACAGTCTTACAGCAGTTCTCATTGTACAGTCTGACAGCAGTTCTCATTGTACAGTCTGAAAGCAGTTCTCATTGTACAGTCTGACAGCAGTTCTCACTGTACAGTCTTACAGCAGTTCTCATTGTACAGTCTGACAGCAGTTCTCATTGTACAGTCTGAAAGCAGTTCTCATTGTACAGTCTTACAGCAGTTCTCATTGTACAGTCTGACAGCAGTTCTCATTGTACAGTCTTACAGCAGTTCTCATTGTACAGTCTGACAGCAGTTTTCATTGTACAGTCTGACCGCAGTTCTCATTGTACAGTGTGACAGCAGTTTTCATTGTACAGTCTGACCGCAGTTCTCATTGTACAGTCTGACAGCAGTTCTCATTGTACAGTCTGACCGCAGTTCTCATTGTACAGTCTGACAGCAGTTCTCATTGTACAGTCTGACAGCAGTTCTCATTGTACAGTGGATAGTGGTCATCCTGCTTCCATATGTTTTTTCTCTTTGCATATTCCTTGTGTATAAACTGTTTGATTCTCTGATTTGTCGCAACACAAAAGTTAGTTGAATTAAATTGAATGGAAGTCCAGAGAAATGTGTGCTTCTGGGAGATGGAAGCAGAAAAACACCTGGATCGTGGGTGTTGGAGAGGGCAAAGTAGATGATTAAAGTGTGTCTGACTCGGAGCAGACTCTTGGGTCAGCTTCATTACCGACACACATTCATGAGATGCAGTTTTATTCTTTGAGCCTTCTGAATGCTCTCGCCTTACACAGAGCTCCCGGTCTTGTGCGTTTGCCCCGACCAGCTCTTGTCTCGATCGCAGAGACCTTTTGTTCCAGAAATCCGCTCCACAGTTTGGCTTCGGGGACTCGGAGAGGACTGCAGAGAGCTGTAAATCTTCCGGCCTTTTCTCTCTTTTGTGCTGTGCTCTGTCTGCGCTCCACCGCTCATTCCAGCCAGGGCAGTAAAATCATGTTTGGAAGCTGTGTGACTGCCCTTTCATCCTGTGTGTGTGTTTGTGTGTGTGTGTGTGTCCGCTCATAGAGGTCGTAAATAACACCCCCACCTCACATTAGGTCCTTTGACAAAAAGAAGAGAGGAGAACACAATCATCCCAATGTATTTCCACATGATTTAAAGGACACGTTTAGTGAAGAATAGTAGAAATATGAAGATTTTGATATCCGGTATACATTTTTCTGTTGTGGCCGAGATGATAAAAGTTTGTACATACTGAATTTCTTCCTCAATTTTCAGATTGTATTTTATATTGGTGAGAATGGGCGATGCAGGTAATTGCACACAGGTGCTTTTTGCAGCTTAGTATCACTCTTATTTTGAGTGAAAACTATTTTCAATGCAGCGTATGTAGTTTTAAAAAGAGTAATAGATAAATAGATACATTATTATGGAGTAAATTTCTCCATTATGAGATCAATAAAGTTTTATCTTATCTTAAAAATACAGAAAGGATAGACAAGAATAAATAGTCGCCTATAATAATTTACAGGGCATTAAAAAAGAGATAAATAAGGTTTAAAATAGTATTAAAAGTTGTACGTTTCATCCTATGATAATATTTTTGTGTTTCATAAAGATGATTTATCTGACCGTATAAAGGCCCTCAAGTTAAAGGATTGTGGCATTACATATTGTGGTCCTCCATGTTGCATGAGCTCTGACCTGTTGTCTGTGATCATTCTGACACAGTCTGAGAATCTGGAAACGTGTCTTGTTCTGTGACATCAGAAAGCTGTTTGGAGACTGGAGAAAGATGTTCCTGGTTATACAAGATGTGTTGCTTTGTGTCTTTACATTTAGACTAAACGGCATTAAAAATGTGTCTTTGATTAGCTCTGTGGGAGAAAATACAATAGCTTGGATTCTGATTGTATTGTTTTTTATTTACAGTGTTGGCTTTTGACTCCTGCTAGCTAAAGATATAAAGGAGGATATTTATGAAAGAACCGCCCTCTCCACTTTTTGAACAAATCTTTCTGGTCTTATTTGACGAGCACGTATCACCAGAATGATGTCAACTTGTGTTATCATTCAATGAGGATGAGACTTCTTCAATTCTGAAGGAACAGGGAGAGTCTATCACACTCTCTCTGAACACTGATTGGTGAAAACTCTGCCCATTGTGAGTGAGTCAGAGGGATAGTGCCATGGTGTGGACTTCCTGGTTTTATTTTGATTTATATATGAATAGATTATATGTAAAAACAGATAAGTACCATGGAAACATATCAGAAAAGACTACAACTTTCTCTTTAACAAGTATTTTTGTGAAAAGCCAGATCTATTTCAGTGCCATACAAATAAAGTTTCGCCCCTTGTTGCACGAATTCCTTCAAGTGTACCGCCAATAACGGAACAAGTTGAAGATTGTAACTGGAGGATTACAATATTTGGACAAAAAAATTCAAAACTGAGATCTGTTTTTGCGTATGAACTCTTGCTTGTTCTAATGTTGTGATTTTTACTTCCGGTCTGTCTTGTTGATTGTTTGCCCCGCCCTGATGTGAACGATAGAATCTTTTTTTTAGCATAGGATAAAAACAACAGTAAGAACAA